AGATATAATGTAGTATTGGTCACTTACCGATAGAATATTCAGTGATAAATCCAAATCCTGTAGCTCCTTAAGTGTTTCTATAATCTGGAAAGAAACATTAGATTTATTTTTTTTAGCCTGTTCTAAAAGTATTTGTTTTCCAAATAGTCCCTAAGAAACAGATTTCAAAAACAATGCACATTTCCCTGTTTCACTAGGTCTAAAGAGAAGAATCATAGAATCATCAAGGTTGAAGGAGACCTCTAAGATCATTGAGTCCAACCATTAACCTGTCACTGCTGCAACCCCTAAACCCTAAACCAGATCCTCCAGGGTCAGACCCAGACACCTCTTAAACACTTCCAGGGATGGTGACTGCACCACTTCCCTGAGCTCTTGCTTCTATTGTCACCTTTGCTTTTTTCTCACAACGATATGTGTGTACCAACTCTTAGTTTGTTCGATGATCTTTGAGGTCTCCAACTTTGATGATCCTATGATCCTATAATGCAGGGGAGGAGGGAAAGCAGGTTGGCATTAGGAGAGCAGAGGTCAATGGTAATAAGCAATGGGTAAGAAGCATGTGGGCAAACAAAATTTTCCAGAGTTAAAACAAAAAGCAAAGCAATAACAACAACAGATCCCATGTGCTCTGGGTTTAGCCTCTTCCCAGTGCACTAGTGTTGCTCCATCATCCTTTATACAAGTGTTGCACAAACTCCTCATTTTTCCTAGCTGACTCTGAAACCTCAGGAAGGATGGAACTCATTAACAGGTACCCAGGTCATCTGTGGTCAGGGGACTGGCTCAACATTTCACTATAGTAACTCTTTCCTGTTTTCTCTCCTTCCTTCCTCACTCGATAGCTGCATCTCTCTCAAAGATATCCCTATGATTACTTAGCTCATTCTCTTCTGTGACACAGCCTGGGAAATCTGTAGTCCAGAACTTCTAGCTGAGTGAAACACCTCATCTGAAAGAGCAGCAAGACTTTGAAGACACCACCTTAGGAAAACCCAACTCTTTTCCAAGCAAATAATTCCTACACTCTCAGTTAGCAAAATAAACCCAACAAACCTACATTACACAACTGTTTGCCTAAAAAGAATTTGCTTAGCTTTGTTTTCAGCTACTAAATCTAATGATCTTTCTGTTAATTAAAGGCACCTTCTTTCAAACATCTTATACAACACAGAAATGTAAACACTAATCATACTAAAACTAAAGGACTGAAGTAAAAGTGTAAGTTATGCTAGCAGAGCTATAGCCATTCTCTGGCTGTCTTAAAGTCTTCTCAGCTTGGCAGTGTTTATAAAAACAATCCTCAGAACAGGACATAATATTCCTGTAATTGTCCCTCTAATGCCATACAGCAGTAGTAACACAACCCTGCTAAGCTGCCCAGAGATAGCTTTTACTCCATAAGCCACTGCATTGTACTGCAATTTCATGCTCAACTGGTAATACATCAGAGCTCCAAATCATTCTCTGAGTCAATGCTTTCCAAAATACAGCCTCCTATGCTGAGTGACCTATATTCATAGCTCCTAGCTGTGACTTTCCACTGAGCCATGGTAAAACATGTGTTGCTCAAATGAATGGAGCCTAGCATGTGACCCAAGTTGGTTCCTGGAAGAGGATCTCTTCTTTGGGCAC